ATATTTGATTAGGGTGCTTTGCAATGATACATAAATATTTTGTCAAAATTTTAAATTTATTATTTTTTATTTAAAAATATAATGGACAAATAAATCTTTTTATGCCCTTTTAACGGATTTTTTAAATGGGAAACATCATTAGGTATAAAACGTGTTATAATATTATTAATAAAAGTTTGATGATAGGAAGATGATGACAAAATGTTAAACACGAAAAATTGAGATCTTTATTGCAAATTAAAATGTGTCACAATTAATACAAAATTTGTCGCAATATATAATCTCTCATTTTTCTTGGAAGATGTTAAATTTAAGGGTAAATTTCACTTGCAATCTCTAACTTTTTATAAGTGTGACGTTCTACATCTACCCTACTATTTGTCGTACTCATATCCCTAATCTTTTAAACATTGTGGCATCAACGTCCCTAGCTAATGGAAAAGGTTAATTTGGACATCAAATGGCCTCGTGACATTAGACTAAGAAGATAAAATTGTCCAACAACTGGATTCAAATTTCTAAATAGAAGTCGAAGTCATCGTTTGGACTATTTTTAAATTAAAAAAAATTAATTGAACGCTTTTACTCTTTTAGTTCATCATCACGTGTGTGTCCGGTGGTCATTTACCGTTAGGTGGATATATTGGCGCTAGCATTTCAAAAGGTCTGAGCCTCCGAGGTGACATAAGTGCCACGCTTATGAAAGGTTAGAAGAGCTCGGTGGAAATTATCCTAAATTTAAATAAAGAAGAAAAAAGAGAAGGTAGAAAAAATTATGGCTAGAATACTGGAAGCTGCTGTATAAAGAAAATAATATATAATTAATAATTTTGTAGGATAAAATAATTATTTAGAATTTTTTTCATTCCGGGTTGCACGGAAGTTGGTTGCACGAAAAAAGATAATGTGTACCCATTGCTTTACAAGTAAAAAATGATTTAATGAGCATCGTCCACCAATGAATTTATATATGGCTTGTTTGGGAGAGATTTAAATTTTTCTACAGTAAATCAATTCTCATTTTCAACCACACATTCTTCAATAAAATAATATTTTGCATCACATCAATAATTTCTTCTTCTTTTTCAACCACACATTTCCCATCATATCACTATTCAAAATCAATTCTTCCCCCAAAAATCTCTCCCAAACAAGCTCTAAATTTAAGGGTAAATTTCACTTGCAACCTCTTAACTTTTTATAAGTGTGAAGTTCTACATCTACCCTACTATTTGTCGTACTCATATCCCTACTCTTTTAAACATTGTGGCATCAACGTCCCTAGCTAATGGAAAAGGTTAATTTGGACATCAAATGGCCTCGTGACATTAGACTAAGAAGATAAAATTGTCCAACAAGTGGATTCAAATTTCTAAATAGAAGTCGAAGTCATCGTTTGGACTATTTTTAAATTAAAAAAAATTAATTGAACGCTTTTACTCTTTTAGTTCATCATCACGTGTGTGTCCGGTGGTCATTTACTGTTAGGTGGATATATTGGCGCTAGCATTTCAAAAGGTCCGAGCCTCCGAGGTGACATAAGTGCCACACTTATGAAAGGTTAGAAGAGCTCGGTGGAAATTATCCTAAATTTAAGTAAAGAAGAAAAAAGAGAAGGTAGAAAAAATTATGACTAGAATACTGGAAGCTGCTGTATAAAGAAAATAATATATAATTAATAATTTTGTAGGATAAAATTATTATTTAGAATTTTTTTCATTTCGGGTTGCACGGAAGTTGGTTGCAACGAAAAAAAGATAATGTGTACCCATTGCTTTACAAGTAATGTTATTCATAGTGAAAACTATCGTCATGCATGACATTCACATGGTAGTTTGTTATTTGATGCACTAATCTTTTATTGGCTCATATATTAAATAACAAACTGTCATGTGAATACCACGTAGGATGACTACATGAAGTTTTCATTATCAATAGTATTATTCTTAGTTTACAAGCTTATGACTTTGGCGTTAATTCTTCTAGTTGTTACACCTAGAGTTGAAAGAGTTTTTTCTATAGTGAACAACGTATATGATCGACTGCATAATCAAATTGGAGATCAACGGATGAATGACAGCTTTGTTGTGTGTATTGAAAACGATGTATTCGAAAAAACTGATGATGAAGTCATTATGCATCGTTTCTGAAATATGAGAACCTGTTGGGATCAATTGTATACTGGTTCATTTCAAAAATTTATCTGTTGTCTGTTGGAATTAATTGATAAAGTGTTAAGTAATTAAATGTGATATTTAATTATGTGGGCCATTGTAATTAATTTGGGTGAATTGCATACCGCGCTTCATCTTCCATTTTTATTTTCTATTATTTTCTTTGTTTTTTTGATT